TGTAATAGAACAAGCTTTTTTTCCAGTTATTTTTTTTTTTTTTTTTTTTCTGTCCGTTCATTGAAGTTGCTCCATCATTTTTTTCCTTTTTCAGAACAAATCAATAGGGAAGAAAAAATGGCGGATTACCTTGCCCGTATCGTTTTCCCACTTTCATATGAATATATTCGCAAATGGCCAGAGCTATTTACTTCCATGGTACTTCCACTTTCGAGCATATCGGTGGGATTCGCTGGAACTTTTGAAAGGAAAGCTATTCGAAACTGTGTAACGTCTCGAATATAAATGCATTCGTTCCGCAGAATGTTATGAATCAACGGTTAACCAGGTCGAATGCATCGTAATACAAGAGCTGGGAAAAATGATCCGAAGAAAGGCCGTTGTATCGATAGACGGATACAATTGAATGTTTGATTTCTTAGAAAACAATTGCGGGTTGGATACCTATAATCGATTCGATGTTACGTGATAATTGCAACGTATTACGCGTACATGATTACGAAATTATTTGATATACAGATATTCTTTCATAGATTGGAAATTCTGATTTTGATAAAGATTTTTGTACGTATAAGATATTTTTTAAGGCCATAACAAACGCAAAAATTCGTATACAAAAATATCAATTGATTAAAACGTCTTCGTCACACTTACTATCAAACTCTATTTCCATCTTGTTTTATTTAGGACAAACTTGAATTGCATGTAACCTAATAAATAAATTGCAATTCATATTTTTGTGTTTGTTTCGATCTTCAGAATTAATTTTCCAAAGTTCCATAATACGAACATAATTACACGTGCAATTTTTTTCGTTCATCTGTTTGAAATTGAAGATTTGTACTGTGATTAACTTTTATTTATAGGTTTTTTTCTCGAAATCGATCACCCATATTCGCGTGATGCTTATTTGACTTACGAAGGATCTTCGTAAGTATTTGGAAAGATATTTCACAGGATGTAATAAAATTACTATTAAATTGTTATAAAAGTAATACAAAAATGGTTTATTAAAAAAATTATTTAAAATATAAAACTAATATAATTTTTGACTTCAAGAAAGAACGTAATCTATAAATGTTGCTGCTATTGATTAATAAAATTATAATTCCAATTCCTCTATTTAATGGTTTATGCATTATATAAATAAAATTTAAGATTTACGAATATACTATGGAATATTTTATATTATATCCTTTAAAAAGATTAACGTTCTACAAAGCTGAAGTTGATCAAGACAATTCGAACAAGAAGTTGTTATCTGTTATATATCTGTTATACGATTCACTAAAACGTAATTAATCTTCCATTTTTCTTTTCGACATTGGAACGAATTAGAGTAGAAATTTTAACAATTATACCATATAGTTATTTGACAAAGATTCGAACTGTTCATGTAGAATTGATAAGTAAGGACTTGAGGTCACCAGCGATTCACATTAGTAAAATATGGAAGTACTATGCAGAAACATGCGCGGCAATTAACGTGTTGAACGTTTGCCAATGTTAGAATGATCAACGAATATCGATAATACAATCGAAAAAAAAAAGAAAAATATTCATGAAACTACGTATTCCTCCAATAATAGATGTGCCAACACCTAGGCGCATCTGCATCTAACGTTAATGCGATCATGGAGCGGATCAAGAACCGTATTATACTTTTCCATAGATACGATATTAACCGGAGAAATTCCATGTAAAGACGATGGAATAAGGGGGAAGTGACATCGAGAATGGCCCTTTCCTTTGCACTGATCCGTAAACAGCAAACGAACCGACGCACTTGTACGTCTACGACAAAGCGAGTCCGGGCTCGAAGATGCAAGATCCCCTCGTTTGCTCGGTATAATGATCACCCGAGTTTCAGGATGCATGCAGAAGGCAGAAGTGCAAACATGCCAAGTTCCTTCATATCAATTGAAAACAGTAGCATAATGCGCCGTTAATTAAATCCTAACAAACTTCACCCCCGTGAAGGAATTCGCAGGAAGTAATGGATTGCATTGGTGGTTCCAGCTGTAGCCTGTTCAAATTTATAGCGTTGTTGTGGGTTATAAGTCATATGAATAATTTCAATTTTACTTAAGGGGAAAGAATAAATGGATACCTTTTTTTTTTGTGTGGAATATATTTGGAATGTATGGGTATTGCGAACGAGATGAGCCGGTTATGGTTAAAAAGAAAATAAAGAAACATGGACGAAACGGATATTGTGTTGAAAGAATATAATTGACGAGGCATATTGATATTGGATGATTATTATTTATTCTTTTCTATGCTTTTGTCATATATAATTGAATATTTGGTATAATAGAAAGGAATTCTTTAGTAGCTTATTAAAATTATGTTTTATTATTCGTCTTATTTATCTATTATAAATTGCAATTTTCTTATTTTTATAATTTTACAAATTTTGTTAATAAATGATTCTTTGCGATTAAAATTTAAAATGATATTATTTATGGAATGAAAATATGTATATCCGATAATACATAACAAGTGAATGATGATGACGATGAATTTAAATTTTATACATTTTTCTTAATGAGAATATATAATATGGCATAGTAAACAGTTATTTAAAAAAATTTCATGAAACCATTAATGAATTCCACTAATCTTTATGTATTTACTTTATATTTTTAATATAGAATATATATATCAATATCATTATTATAATATACATATAATATTGATAATGGCAATATCTTTGATCATTTGCCAGAATATGTATCAATAATATATTTAATAAATTTTAATAATAATAAAAAATACTTTTTAAATAGTTTTCACTAGTTTTGAAATTTTATTCATTAATTTTTTTCAGTATTTTTTTGATATTTATTTTTTCATTCAATATATAAAAGTTCTTATTATTTTCTTATATCCTTATTGTCCGATTTAAATCATTTCTTCATTTCAATATTTCAATCGTTCCTTAAAAACATCCACGTATTTACTCGAATTCGATCATCAATCCATCGACAAATATGTCGGATTTTTCAAACAATTTCAAAAGAAATTTTGTTACAAGATTCAAAGCTGCGATATTATTCCATCAGATATTTCGCGAATACGTAACTCGAACCATTCCACTCAACCCATCTTATGCACGCACGCGAATCAATTTCTGGATCAGAGCGAAGATGATCACGGAACGATCGGGGCCCGTGTCGACTCGTGAAAAGTGATCAGAAAGATTCATCTGCGAGGGCTATTTATTACTCTATTATTACATTCGGCCGGCCGATACGTTGTAATTGCCGATCCCGCGATACCGAACCGCTCCATTGTTTTAAATTGCAAAAGGATTCCTCACTCTGCCCGTAATAATGGTACCTCGGCGCTCTGTTGATTGTTGCGGCTGACAACAAGTGTGAGCCGCGAGGAGGAACGTTCTCAGCACGATTTCTCATTTTTACGTTCTACTTCCGATTCTTCGACCATTGCACAGGAGGGAGAGGAGGAGGGAGGGGCATCAAGCGTCGCTCACTTCTCCACCACGGCAATTGAACATGCACTGTGAAAACAAAACGGATTACAAATATATATATATATTTCTATGAATATCGTTCACGGTCTCGATGAATCGGTATCGAGGATGAATGCGAAACGAGCGAACGGTCGTGTAACGGGTTGAAATACTTAATCGAGCTAGCAGATTTGAGTAACAGGAGTGCTTATGATATTCGAGGTTAATTCTGAATATGATTTAGGGGAAAGATGTTCAATTACTCTGGGGAAAAGGTTGCAGTTGCGCAATGATTTGACGTAGAATTTACTCGTAGTATTTATGATTAGTGAAGGGAAAAATTAGATATTGGATTCAGCTTTCACTTCGAAACGAGTTTCAAGTGAAATGAATGAGATAAACGAGATAAATTGATGAATGAAATTTTACACCGATCGTTTATCCGATTCGTGTTCGTTTCCTCAAAATTGCGAGTGAAACGAGAAATACTATGTCGTGTAAGACATTTTAATTAGAAAGTAACGGTATGCATGATTTTGATGATGATTGATGATATTTTTGCTACCTATTAACTGGAAATAATATATACATGTAAATACATGATGTAATTAATCATATTAAAAATAATATAATAAATATTATGTTTATAACGACTATTGTCAAAATATTATAATATTTCTTCAAAAAATTTAATTAAATCAACAATTTTTATGTTAAAATTCTTAACATATGATGTTTATAATATAAATAATTATTTATTCTATAGTTTATGATTACAAATTATTTAAAAATAAATATATTTTCATATTCATTTTAATAATATACATTTAATAATAATTATATTTATTTACACAAAAATATTAAATTTTATTCATCTATTTGGCCAAAAGTGTATTGTTGAATCTTATGTTTTAAATTTTTCTCCTCTTTATTTTTTTGGACAACTTTCTTTATTTTATTAAAATTTAAAAACACAAATCACTGATCTCAAACTGTGAATTCTTAGAATATATATAAAAATAGAAAAAGTATTGAGGATATAATGCTGTTCAAAAATAATGCTGTTTTTGAGAGAAGTTAGAAATATATGAAAAAAAAAAATATATAAAAAGAAAATATATGACGATATTTATCTTTATATGACACTGTTACAGAGAGAACAAAAAATTTTTATAATTTTTTATAAATTTTTCTTGTGATCAAGAGTATCGCGTAATCAGAGAATTAAGAAGCGATTAGACTTCCATATCAAAGGAGCGTGATTCTCTATTTTTTTGATCTTGATCTCTTTGATTTTAGAAAATTTAAAAACTGTGATCATTTTGGGAATGTATTCTTTTGAATATCGTATATGATAAACATTTTGAACTTTTATATTTTGAAAATATATGCTCTTTTTTAAATAATATTTATGTGATTAATAAAAAAATGATCGCAAAAATCGTTATTTTTAAGCCATAATTTTATGCGATTTGTTTTTTTAATTAACCTTTGCACGAAAAAATTAATTAGGATTTTATTTTTACTTTATTTTTATTAATGCAGCATGACTTAATATAGTTTATGTTATTACGATTATTTCATTTCAAAGTATTTCAATATTTTTACAACAACAAAAACAAGAATTTTTATTAGAATTATTTCTAGTTTTAAATATTTAGTATTCTAGTTTTAAGTATTATCCAACTTAGTTTCCTATAATATATATATATATTATAGGAAACTATCAAATCGTGTATCTTAATCTATTCTAACAAATGTTATAAACAGATATACTATAATTTATTATTTATTTATTTATTACTATTTATATATTTATTACTATCTATAATATAACAAAATTTCGGTGGTTACACATGATACTTTTCATAGCGTCAGATACAATATATATAACAATATATCAATCTTCTATTAATTTCAATATTTCGTATAAAGTTCTATTATACAATAGAATTCCATTTATTTATTGAACTATTTATTGAACTTTATTTATTGAAACTAAATTTTAGCATTCAACAAGTAAATTAAAAATTCTAAAAATTAGTCTAAACTTCTATTATTTGAATTGATATGTCAAATAATGTA